AAGTCTCAGGGGGAGCAGAGACTGCAGAGATAAAAGGGGGGCGGGAAACGAGAAGGGAAATAGGGAGATGACAAGACCCTCCAACACACCCTCCCCCCTAAAAAACAAGCAACAAACCTGCTCCCAGCTCCTGGTCACTGGGCAGCTTTAGTGCAGACTGAGAGAATAGTCCCACGGGGCCTGGGAGGGTGGGGTGTGGATGTGTGGGGGGGTCGGTCTTCGCTATTGGCTGGCCCAGGACACTGCCCAGTTACAATTTAAGGATGATTGATCGCTGGTGTGAGTTCCCGTAAATCACGATGGGAAAGGTCCCTTCCTTGGTGGGCTTTGGGGGCTGGACCAGGGATTTAGCCCAAAGCCCTTTGGGAGCCAGGGGTGGGGAGGCGTGGGTGCGGCTCTCAGCTTTACAGAAGGAAGCTTACCCCCTCCACGGTCATGGGTCATGATAAAAACAGCACAGACACATTGCTCTACAGTTTGCAGGCAACCAGATTTTCGGGAATTGCTCTTCTCAGCTGATCTTCAAAGTAACCCTTTGGAAATTGGCCCCTTTGTGCCCATTGGATAGTTAAGACACTGAGCCTTGGAGCACTTAGTGTCTCCAGATAAGCCGCACTTGGAGATCAGCCTGAATCTCCCCAAGTCCTAACCTGGCCCCTGCTCTTCCTCTGTGACCTGTGTGTGTGTGTCTATGCTGTTTCTCTTCTCTGAGACCTGGAATCAGTGGCCCTTTCCTTGTGATACAGTCAAGGAATCTGGGGCACTCAACCCAGCAAGCATTGGCCTTAAGTAAAACTGGGAAAGCTGGGTGTATGCATTTGGGGGCAGGGGGGCATTTTCAGCGGCCTGGGAACCAACAGACCTGGCTATGACACCTGGCTTCCCTCTTAGCACCTCTCCTCTCAGGGTTGCCAGATAAAAGTCAGGAAGCCCAGTTACATTTGAATTTCAGATAAACGAAATTTTGCTGAAGTATGTTCCATGCAATATTGGGACATAATTATACTAAAATTTTTTTTTTTTTTTGGTCATTTACCGAAAATTCAAATTTAACTGGATATTCTGTATCTTATTTGCTAATCTGGCAACCGTACCTCCTTTGAAAAACAAGGCAGTCTCCGATGACCTGATACAGTTCTAATGTTCTATGATTGTCTCGCTGCTGGGCCTGTCTGGTTTGGCACAGTCAGGAAATTTGGCTGCTCGCACCAGAATTGCTTCTCTAAGAGACTGGCCGGGGACAGAAAAGAGAGAGAATATTTGTATGTCTGGTTGGGGGGTCCTTGGAAAAGACCCATGAAGACTCTGCACCTGCTTTGCTAGAACTTCATTCCCTGTGGTGACTTGGGAACCTCCTACATCAGGAAGTTCCTTCACATCAGTGCAAGAAATAAAATGGAAACATTCTAGTGAAGCTGCTAAATTACTAAAATCAAGAAGGCCGAGGCATGAGGAAATGACTCTATTTTTGTTTTAACTAACCTGGGGACTTCAACTTTTGAATTTGCCAGTCCTGTGTCAATGCCTGGTTATACATCAAACCTCCAGATAATCCTCTGATTACTCCCTGAGAGGACTCTTGCATCCAGACCAACTGACATCCATCATCCAGATTGCCTGACATCTGACTAATACCATCCTGGACCAATCCTAGGACCAAGAATGCAGGACTGATTATTTTCAAGAAGGCTCTTTTTATCATAAGAACCCTTAACTTTTCTTTCTTCTTCCGAATACTTCTGGGTTTTTGCTCACGTGTGTTGCCGGTATGCAAACTCTAAGACCCTTGAATAAATTTTTACCATTTATTTCTAGCCAAAGCCTCCAGACCCTTTCTGAATTCATTTGACACATGGTTGGAGCATCTGCACACACAATATCACTTTATTCCAGGGCCCAAATGAGGGCCCCCAAGGCCCATGGAGCTTGTGGGTTCTGGGAAATGGGTCAGCCAAATAAAAAGCAGCTGCTGGAAAACAACCTCGTCACTCTCTTAATTCTCATGGCACCTGTGAAGTGGGTGCTAATTATTAATTCCACCTTAAATGGAAAAAAAAAGTCGCAGAAATTAACTGATTCAGCCAACATAGCTAGTAAGCGACAAAGCCAAAATATGGACCAAGTCTGTTTGACCCTATAAATGACTGGCATATACCAGGGCTGGTCTGAAGGAGTCTGTGCCAGCTGCAGGAGTCTGATGCTCTGTGGACCAAAGTCTCAGGGTGGATGAGGCCTGGTGGAGAGGTTTCCCAGCCTGTGGGCCTACCTCCGTGAGCCACCTCAGCTCTCTGGCCAAAGCCATCCCTGCACTCTGGACTTTGAGCTGTGTGTCTGCTATGTGGAGACTTTCTTGCCTAAACAAGCTGAGCTGAAGATAAGCTCTCCCTGACTCAGACGGGAGCACTTTTTCCCAACAGGATGGCTGGAGGTTGACTTAATTGAGGTGTTTGGAGAATTTCTGCCTAGCGTGGGTGTTCAGATAGACAGTCAGCTTAGGGCCGTGACTTCAGTCCTGCCCCCAGCCCTGGGGGCAGGTCTAGGGTGTCTATGCCATGAGAACCTTCCCTTCTGGTGGGTGAGGAGAGATGAGCCCACAGGGGCATTTCCCCCCATGTTTTATGTGTACATGGCTTCTCCCCCGCTGTAGGTTTTCTGGTGTTGGATGAGGTTCGAGTTCTCACTAAGGCTCTTTCTGTACTCAGAACATTTTATTAGTTTTTTTCTCCCAGGTGGGTCCTCAGATACTGAAGGTTCATGTTGCTGTGGGTGAATGCTTTCTTACAATCTATATACCTGCAGTTTCTCCTCTGAAGACAAATGATACAAAAACTTGGAAAAAAGGCAGAAGAATCAGAGTCAGCTGATTCTCAGAACACAGAGAATCGTTCAAGTGATAATTTTCTTAGTTGTCCCACAGACAGGACTCAGCTAGGACCACTCTAGACGCAGGGAGATTCTGGTTGATCTCAAAGAATGCCTTGGGCATTAGGGCTCAGTCCTCTTTTCAGAACCCTGACTGCGAAATACCATCCTAGGGGAGAGACGTTTTCTTTGACTTCTTACAGACATATGGTTTCAGTTAAATAAGATGAACAGATTCTACAGATCTGCTGTGCAATATTGTACCTTTGGTCCACAATAACATACAATTAAAATCTGCTAAGAGGATAAATCTCATGTTATGTTCTCAACAAAATAAAGAGTCCCTCTTCTTTTCACCTTCCCTCAGTCTTCTGGTAGGAGATGGTGGGAACGAGAGATAAAGACAGGAATTAGATCCAAACAATTTTTCAGACACAAACACCCCAAACCCCACACTCAGAATGTATTTGAAGACCCCGGAAGGCCAAGGAATACAAAACTTTTCTGGATAGTCAGAAACACGTGATGAGCCTTTATAGGTGCTTTAAATGGGCTCGTTTCTTTCTTTCTAAGGAAAGTTTATATTATTCTGTCAAAGTTGTCACTACAATTTCATGTACGTGTTTTGTAAAAATTTTCAGACAACCCAGGCATCTATAAAATGAAAAGATATTCCAGACACAACTGCTGGTAAGAGTTGCAAACGTGTTCCTCCAGATTCTCTTTATTTATAAAAATGTATATTTTATACTCCTCTCCCACACACATAATTATACTCGTCCATATTTCGTTTCTGACTCAATTCAGTGTCAGGGCGTCACTCCATCTCGTTCTCCCCAGCAGCCGCACAGTATTCCATCGTTTGGTTGTGTCACAACCGATGCCTTTGACCTCACGCCGAGGTATATTTGGGTTAATCCCCAGCCCTGCAACCGCACACTGCCTGCCCGCTCTTCCACTTCTCCTCAGCAGCTCACCTGGGTTCTCCGCCACGTTTCTGTCTCTGACCTTTGCCTTCGACTCCGTTGCCACCTCTTTGGATAGAAAACCCAGGTTTGGACTCTTTACTCAGCTGTGAATTGAGTTCTCTTCAGACTGCAACTTCTTGTTTTGAGATATCTGTCTACTGAGAGAGATCTATATATCTGTTTGTATCTTAGCTATATCTATCTATCTATCTATCTATCTATCTATCTATCTATCTATCTATCTATCTATCATCTATCTAAATCTACTATCTATAGAGAGAGAAAAAGAGAGAGAGAAAGACAAAGGTAAGTATTTGTTCTAGTAAGGCCTTCAACTGATTGGGTGAGGCCCATCCACATTATAGAGGGCAATCTTTTATTCACGGTCCACTGATTTATATATGAATATGTATATATGTATGTACACACACACACACACACACACACACACACTCTGTTGGTTCTGTTCTCTGCGTCA